AAAACATTATCTTAGTAGTCTAAAACATTCTTTTAATATAATTGCTATTTCTGAAACTTGGATTAACATTGTGAGGGGAATGGATTTTGACCTTGAGTCCTTGTCCGCAAATGTAATGTTTTGTGAACGGTGATGTTCAGTCTGTCCTAGAAGTATATATTTGTGATATATATAAACATATATTTATTCTGATAAGCAAGTAATTACTAATATGGACACTCACCAAGCACTTTATTAGACAAATGAATGCAATTCCATTCAACAGCCCTGCCATGACATAGCTTATGAAGCTCATAATGTTTATTAGAAATGTATTGATTCAATAAATATATGTTTATCATTAAGGTCACAATGAAAGGTGGTTTTGGACAAAAATATATAGACACCACTGAATATAATGGATTCCAGTACAGTTCACTAAACCTCCATAATAACAATATCATTGAATTTACAAATTTCAAACAATGTCACCAAAAACTGAAACACTGTGAAGTTCACAGACAGATGTTATGGCAAAGCCGTTGTATTAGATAGCATCCAAATCACAGACGTAGCCAACCTAATAAAGTGTTTAAGAAGTGTAGAATTACATTATAGCTAGTTTTACATTTTCTAAAACAGCCTAACGCTAAATATTAAACAGCTTGTTGAAGAAAATACTACAGTTTATCTTACCAGACACTAGGGTTTATAGGATTTATGTGACAACAAGATTACATCTTTGTTGTGAACAACCATTACTTGCTTTAAAAACCCTGAGAGCTCGCGCCCGTATTCCTATCGCACCACGTGCGTTTTTCAGCAGGGATTTGTGGGAAGTGGTGCTCATGGTAACCAACGTAAACACCAGCCACCCTCCTTCTCCTCCTCTTCCGCTGCATCCCGGTTCTTTAGCAGCACCAAAGCGGGTGAAAATGGCTGGCTTGGCTCGCAGCGAGGACCAGTATTATGAAACGATAACACCAATTCTGCAAAGCATGCATAAAAGGTGAGATGTCCTTGTTTTTTGTTTTGCTTTTTACTAACGGGGACATGGCATGGTGGACACCGCGAGCTCGAGCTGTGATGTCCATTGCCCGGTAGCCGTCTTCCTGTCGCAGGCTAGCTACTTGGCTAAACAGTGAAGATGCCGTATTGCTACCGGTAGCTATTTCATTAGGGTGTTTACTTATGGCGCTACCTTTAGCTAACAGCAGTAAGGTTAACGGAAGCTGTACATGCAAAACTACTAACTTATAGTAGTAACGCTAGTTGTTGAAAGCTAACCCGATTGGCGTCAGCGTTTCTATTAAACCTTTTGTATGCTCTTACATTAACAGAATGGATTACAGTTTTTATTGAGTAAACAGATTCCTAAGTACAGTTAATTTTACCATCAATTAGCAAACTGATGAAATGCTGCAGTGGTGTGTGTGTGTGTGTGTGTGCTATGGATGAGAGGAAATACACGGTGGGAATATTTATTGACCTAAAAAAATCATTTGACACAATCAATCATGAATTATTAATGGACAAGTTAGAAAAATATGGGATCAGAGGAATGGCTCTGAAATGGATTATTTTAATATGAATGGTGTATGAATGTTAACACTCTGTAATAATTCTTTAGTATATTACTTGTGTGGTGTAGAACAAAATTATCTATGTAGAAATACTGCTTGCAAACCAATGATGGTAAGATGATGTCATGGGGTAGGACTAGATAAGTCTGACTTCTTCCTACTCCATTCAAGCATGTACTAGGTATAAGCAAATTGATATTGGATCAGCATTTGTTGGATATGTGTAAAATTATGTGTGTTGATATATCAACTGTCTTTACATGCTTGAAAGAATAAATAAATCAAATCAAATCAAATGGTATGATAGGTTAGGGTTGGAGAATGGCGTTGCCTTGAAAGACATTGAAAATTTATGATGTCATAGCCTGATACCCCCCTCCTTGTGTCCAAATAATGGCACATTATTTGTATTGTCAAGTGAGCAAGGGTTGCAGTGAAGACAGTAAAGAGAATGACTCCTACTTTCTAAAATGTTAAACTGCACCCAAAAAGGTAGGAAGTAAGTGACAAAGTGCCAACCAACAGAAAGAGCACAAAGACACCTTGAGGGCAGGGGAAACCACGTGACTATTCCTTTCACACTTCTGGACATGTTCAAGAGAAGTACAGAGATCAATTTGAGCAACGCAAGAAAAACTACAAAAAAACGACCTTTTCATCTTAAAATTGTCTGATGTTCAGTACCGGAGAACACAAACCCTTCTCGCTCAAACAGTGCCTTTAAAAGTATTCTGTGTAGTGGTGGGTGAGAGACTAAGGAATGCAGAAAATCAGGACTTTCCACTCTACAGCACCTGCTTTAGGTGTAATGGAAAACACAAGTCGCAGTGGAGCTCTACTGGCCACAATCAACAAGAACTGTTGTTGTTTTTTAAACTATTTTACAGAATAAGTATTTAGAACTATATCTACAGTATGATATATTTGTAATACTGTGATTAAATGTGCTTTCAGTAATGTTGACATAATATAAACTGAATGTTTCTTATAGTGCGTAGTAGCCACTGACAGCCACTGACTGATATGCTTTCAGCTGTAACGTTTCATTGACACTGAACAAGGTTGCCTCAAATATTTCATGTTAGAGAAGTGTGTCCAACAATATGTTTGGGACTCTTTTACTATACATATAAGACAAGCTCTACAGAGAACCATACTCAACAACAGGTCCACAAAACATAACATGTTCAACAAACAAAAATACTAATTACTAATTAAAAGGTATAAGATAAATTAGAACTTACTCTGCATGTTTTTCGCTCAGGTGGAGTGGTGTAGTCCTTCACTTTGTGTACTGTGAACCACACACCAGCTAGTGTTCAGGTACTCTTCCTGAAAGTTGACGTGGCCCTCCCACTCTCAGTGTAACACACCCAAATTCCTTCTGTTTGTTATCACTGTCCTTGCTATGGCTTTGTGCTGTAAATATGCAAAGACCACTGTTACCTTATTTTAGCTGTACTGGAAAAATACTTTCAGTGATTCTCCAAAAACTGTCTGATACTAAGGTTCTGACGCACCAGCATGCTCAGTGATGAGTCACAGAGGAAGGTTTATTATTATAAATTATTCTGAAGCATTTCTTAGTGTGTATGAGACTCTCAGGTTTAGACAGTGTCATGCTTAAGTTGTATCCACAGCTGATAAAACCAAGCTGGCTGGTCTGGTCTGTAATAGCCTACTCTGAATTTCCTTTCCCTTTCTAACAGTGATGAGTATTGGTTTCATGGTGGTTCACATGTTCTTGTGCTGAATTATTTTTTAACCCAACTTGGTTTGGTTCCTGTTTGACTGTCTTCATTTCTCTTTTGCACAGTCTGAGTTTGGGAGGGAAATGAAAATATCAATTTCATGAATATGTAAACACAAAAAGGTTGTTTTATTTTTTACTTCATATTTTCAAATTGCCAATAATAGCCTAAGACAGTCATAACATTAAACTGACATTCACACTTCTAGGATTTTTTTAAAATTAATACTACTGTGATGAGCACATCTATACATGGGTGCCAAAAATATTTTCTGTATGTTTATATTCTGATACACATTGGATTGGTCCATACAAACACCCCTTTGTGTTCAGGGTGGTTGGTTCCTTCCAGCTGGAGAGTGCAGCTCTCAGCTGATAATCAGCTGCAGGTGTGTAAATATGGTGTCCGTTTACAAACACACACACACACACACATACATATATTTCTTTTTAAAGTCATGTCATGATAATAGTACATTTGAAAATGAGTAAGAGTTTCAGCATGTCTGTATATAAAGTGCCTTTTGTAGCTGACCTACAAGTTAACTGGTGTTAGCTTGTTGCCCTTTGCTGTAGCTAGCAAGTAAGTTGTTTTTGCCAAACAAAATTAACACTGTTGCACTGAATTAGGTCCTACAAGACAAGAAATGGACATAAACATAAAGTGGATAGTTACTGGTTTGGTGTGAACAGTTTCACAGCCAGTTGTAGCTTTACATGTTAACTTAGTTTCTGAATGTCCTCTTTCGGTTTAATAGGAACACATAGGTAGTAGAGCAGAGCCAGCAGGTGCCTCAGGTGGAACCACAGGATTTCAGGTATGAGCTCAGTGTGGCTTAGTGATTTTATCCAACAGTGAAACTGTATGAAGATGAGCCTGATTTTTGTTTGAGGCTTACTGAGTCTTCATCATGTGTCATTTTATCAACTGCAGGGACAGACAAGCAACAAGTCAGGGACAGAGGATAATTCATGTCAGCTGAGTCAAGCAGGCACTTTAATAAAGTTACAGCATAGTTCTTCACATTATAGTATTGGATAGAATGTCGCATAATAGGTCGAAGAGGAGAATGAGGACGAGAATGTTTGGGGGCCCAGAATTAGATTATTTTCATGGGGCCCAAGATCTCTAATGGTCCCCGTGGTTACTGTTGAACTTGTACTATATTGAGGTGAAATATCCCACTAAATATGCTATGACCCTTATCTTTTTATATGATATGCACCTCTAGAGAATGTAAAGCTTACATTTGAGGAGCTTTTTTAAAAACACATGCAATATCATAAAATAACTTCAAAGATAACAATTTTAGAACATAAATGAATAAATATAGAAACGAATATTTGATAGTTCCTTTTAAATGTTTGATTAAATCTTTGTTCATCTCTGCCACTAGTGGGCAGCGTTGGGCCTGGCACTGAGGGAACACCAGCTTCTGGCAGCAGATGCTTTATGCTCATGATGCATTTTCACCCCATGCAAATGATGCTGTTGTCTGTAGGGACGTGTACGCGCAACATTATAAGCTCAAAGTCTCAGGTTATTCACACAGCAACCTTCCAATAAGTGATGGGGTGAAAAGTGCAGCACCGTATTGATGTCAATAAGACTTTTTTGGTTGTGTTCTAAGAGGGACCACTTGTCCAGGTTTGTGACATGATATTGATAATTCTCATTAATAAATCCTTATTTGTCTGTTGCATATTACTGATTATCTTCATCAAAAATTGTGCAGTTTTCTTTCTGTTTTAATTTAAGACTTGTCACAAGGAGACTCAGCTTATTATTATTATTGTCATTACTGTAGTAAATGTAATACTTTTCTGTAGGTGATTGAACTGTCTTCTGTGATCCAGGCTGGTGTAAAAACGAGGTGTTATTTTTTTGTTTTAAATTTTTGAAAAATCTTTTACTGCCAAGTATAAGATGCTATCACCTTCAGCCACCACTAGGACGTGTTGCTCCAGATAGGATGTTCACTTTTGAATTTTTAGGGGAAATGGGATTACCTTTGGTCATTGACGGCTTAATTGTTTCTCCCTGTCTTTGTGGTAAGATAGCTTTTTTTGGTGCAACTTTATCTTCAAACTTCTCACTTTTGGCAAGAAAGAAAAGAAGTGGATGTTTTTTTAGCCTTCAAATGTTTGTGAGTTGAACTGACTTTACTTTCACTAACATTCTTTCTGCGGAAAATAATTAGCCAATTCCCCCAGAATGTGAATTCAGAAACACAGCTATCTAGGCTGTTTTCCCTTTCCCTATTCCCTTTCTCACCTGGAAAATGGAGACTCCTACATCAGGATACTCTTCATTGACTACTGCTCCACCTTCAACACAGTTGTCCCCCACAAACTCACCCACAAACTGTCCACACTAGGTCTGCACCCCACCCTCTGTGACCGGCTCCTGGACTTTCTGACTGGCAGGCCCCAGACTGTCAGGATTGGCAATAGGATTTCCAGCATTGTTATAAAACTCTGGCACCCCACAGGGATGTGTCCTCAGTCCCATCCTCTACACCCTGTTCACCCACGACTGTGTCGCCTCCCACAAAGACAACATCATTCTAAAGTTCGCGGACGACACCGCAGTGATTGGTCGCATCACTGGCAGGGACGAAGCAGCCTACAGGAGGGAGGTGGCCGGTCTGGTGTCATGGTGCAAGGACAATAATCTCAGCCTCAACACGGACAAGACGAAGGAGATGTTAGTGGACATGAGGAAGGAGAGGAGATCTCATCGGCCACTGTTCATCCGGGGGCTCGAAGTGGAGAGGGTGAGCAGCTTCAAATACCTCCACATCAGTGAGGACCTCACCTGGACACTTAACACCACACAGCTGGTCAAGAAGGCCCAGTGGCAGCTGTACTTCCTGAGGAGGCTGAGGAGGTTTGGCATGTCGCCTAGTATCCTTTGCAACTTCTACAGCTGCATCATTGAGAGCATCTTGACCAGCTGCATCACTGTCTGGTATGGCAGCACTACTGCTATGGACCACAAGCGCCTGTAGAGAGTGGTAAAGACTGCGGAGAAGATCACCAGGACTCTACTGGCTTTTCTGCAGAAAATTTACCACCGCAGGGTGTGTAGGAGGGCTGCCTCCATCCTCAAAGACCCCACCCACCCCCAGCACGGACTGTTCACATCCCTACCCTCTGGCCGGAGGTTCAGAAGTGTGAAATGCAGGACCACTAGACTGAAAAACTCTTTATTTCCCTGTGTTATCAGACTCCTAAACAGCTGAGGAGTTTATTACCAGGAAATACGCCATGTACTGTCGACCTGTATTGTTTACATTCTCAGTTTGCATATGCATAATTGCACATTGACTGTTGACTCCTGCACATGCCCATTCCCATGCAGCATACATTCTCTTATTATATTCTTATATATTTTTATTATATTGCTGCATTTGCTGCTTAAAGTGCCTTAGATTTTGTCTTACTTATTTATCTACTTTATATTTCGTTTGCATTTTGTGGCATTCATGTGGACGGCAAAGTAAGAATTTCATTGTACAGGGAAACATGTTTTTGTAAGTAGAGGTACAAAGTATTAATCAATGTCAAATTTAAGTACAACAATGCCGTGTGGACATTGACCATCGGTCACTGGGGCTGGTGGCATTTCCAGGATGGTTCCTGATTGAAGTATATAGGAAATGCTTGATTTTCTTGTTTGAATTGTTACTAATCATTTGTAGAATACACACAGAAGATGAATCTGCCATCCAAAATATTGTGCTGTTGCTCAAAAACGCAGATAAGCAGGTTCTGTTCGGTTTTACAAAGATTCATAATAATGATGCTATATGATTTTTATACTTGGAGACAAATCTATTTTTGGGTGAGAGTATTGAAACATGTTTGACGACCATGGTACAGCAATCATTTGTGTCAAGGGGATATGTAAAGACACTGCGTCCTATTTACCCTGTGTATAATTGAGTGCTCTAAATCCCTACATTTCAGCAATGTGATGAAGAAGCCATGTTCTGCCGTGTTACCCATGAGCCTGTTTGAACTGGAACAGCACCCAGAGGGGGACCAGATTGAAACCAGCTCCTACGGGGAGACCTCATGTCAATACTAGCATCCTCTGAAGAGTCCTGGTCAGAAAGACCTTCTTAAAGCCATTGGAATTACTCTGGAAGCTCGACATTGAAAATGACTAATCAAATACACACAGCAGAAACGCATCGTGTGTTTGTTAATGAAGCGTACGGCCAGCGGGTCAATCTAGGTGGAGTTTAAGTGGACAAAGTGAAGAGCCCTTGACGTTTAATTCAAGTAATTAAAAAAATTAACAAAAGCTGTTTTGATAGAGCAAGTATGCAGCAAATTTTATTGAGTGCAGAAAACACAATACAAATAGTGTACTTGTGCATTCTCACTTCAGCCACATTTCATAAAATCCAACACCACATCACAGATTGAAATGTGAAAATACACAGAGGGAATTCATAGCCTAAAACATACGAATATGGATTTCACATGCATTCACAACAGAATCACAACAAAACAAGTTAGAGAAGTTTATAATAACGCAGGAATCCACATGA